TCTACTTTTGACTACTGAAGGCAGAGGTATGGATTTTGGAAACATAAAATGGTTCAGGTGGGATGGGACCTTAAAGATCATCAATTCCCTGCCATGGAATGGACAACTTCCACCAGACCAGCTGCTTTAAACCCTGTCCAACCTTGCCTTGGACACTTCCAGGGATGGGGCAGCCACAGCTTCTCTGGCTTTAAACTAGTCTTTTCTTGCACATGGAAGCAAAACAAAAYCTAAATTTGTGAATTTAATTATTTGTCTATCTCCTAAACCTAATAAAAAAATACAAGTTTTCCAGAACAACTGAAAAGAGCCYGATTTGAAAGGAAAATGACAGCAAAGAATCTGTGAACAGCAGAACAGTTTTTATGAAGCACAAGTGCAAATGCAGAGAGTGGCAATTCAATCTTTCACCAAGATGGAAGGTAGAAAGGAGGATGCATTGGTCCAAAGTCACCCTGTAACTTGAGGCAAAGGAGGCAAACAATGACTCCCAAAGTGATAAACAAGGAACAGTGAAATGGCAGGAAACGACAACTGAGTTTGACAAATGGTTGAGCATGGAGATGACTTCATCCCATGGGGAGAAGCCAGACTAACACGACAGTTTCAGGAAATGGCTGTGTTTTAATAATTGAAAATTATTACTGAAACACACACTGTTACAACCTGGCACCAGGGCTAGGATTTAAGTACCATATAAAATACATGTCCCCATTACTACCATCATTCAAAGGAAGTGTGAGAAACCTAAAGTCACACCACACACAGCCTTTAACATCACGCCATACAAACTACAGCAGTCTGTGGCACACCTGGAGTACCTGAAAGCCCTGCTTTGCTATCAGAAAGGAAAAAACTCCCCAAACAAAGCAGCAATGRAAATATGAGACAACTGTCTGGATTTTCAGAGATACCTGCTTCAAATATTACATCAATTGAGTTGAAAATGCTTTCCATGTGACAGGCCTACTGCTCCCACCAGCAGAGAGCATAAGTCTGCCTAAGAAAGCTGAGCWGCCTTTCTCCAAATCACTTGCAAGGAGCAATTTGCACAGCCAGAATAATCTCAAAATAAAGCAATTCATTTGGGGGGGTGGAGGGGAGAAGGAAAGAAACAAACAAAAAAAAAAGTATCCCTTCCCCCAGTAATTTCCACTTTGCTGAATTTATTACACTGCTGCAAATTAATACATCACCTGCACCAGCTATCACAAGGCTCTCTCAGAACTTGCTTTAATAAACAGCTGCCAGTAGTGGAGGAAATATGTAAACATCTCTCCTGCTTCTCTGTGCCATTGTGTCAGCTATTCTACATGTCTTTGAAGGTGCTCCAAAATCAGCATGGCTCTGCTTTTCCCTTTTTCTCCTTTTGGGAGGAGGAAAAAGCAGAGAAGGAAAGACGGGCTGGCAACAGAGGGCTAACTCTGTGCTTGCTGTGCTCTTGACAGTGAGGCTGAGAGTGTTCAAATTCAGTTTACACAGGCTCTTCTGTAAGGACAAAAGAAACCACTGCTGGTGGTTAAAAATGCAAAAGGTTTTGATTGCAATGGCTTGACAATCAGCCAAAGATATGACTAGGGGGAAAAACACAGCAAGGCAGCTATGACCAGAATGGAAGAAACAAGGAAAAACACATGGCTCAACTTCAGAGCAGAAAATTGACTTAGGCTTTGCATAAATGACAGCATACCTCCAAGCCTGCCTGATCCACAGTCTGCCTGGAATGGGAACATGTAGGCTAAAAGCAGAGCCTATTAAAAGGCATAATGTTTCTAAACGGCATCTGTTACGTACTAATAAGCATTACTTAAAGGACACAGGCCTAAAATTGCTACCAAACGTGCACTTATCTGAAACTGCTGCAAGGCAATCGTTACCACAATGTCACATGACACCATGGGAATCTGAATAATAGGAAACGTTTTTATTTTGTTTGGCTTGCAATCATCATGCAGGAAAAGCATGGAGGCATTTTCTGAGATTTTGAAACTGTGCAACTTCATAGGAATGAAACACCAGCAAGAATTACATCAGCAGAGCCATTTGCCATCTGTTGTCAGTAATACTAWAAAGCCCAGCCACCAGACAGCAGTTTCAAAGGTTACAAACACAACGTTTTTAAGCATCCACAGACCTCTGGGTAACTGAGCAGGACAGAGTTTCCTTCAGATATGTGCGACCTGAGGGTCTGCCAATCATTTTGCAAAGACAACATGCCAGAGTCGGGAATTGCCAGGCGAGGCGTTTGGAAGTCTCTCAGTATGCAACCTTTACACAATGTGGCAAATGCATACCAGCCTCATCACGTAGGTTCCTATAACACACTCACARCCATAATGCCTGCACACCTCCCACTTGCAAATTGAAACCGGCTAGACTTTCTYCTGTGCTGTTTGTTTTCCCAAACTTTCCCTCAAGGGAAGGAGTGTGTTCACTGAAAYGCTGCCATGGAAAGGGACTCTGCTTTGTTTGCTGGGGTTTGGGCTGTTGTTTTCCGTTGAGGGAAGTATTTAGGATTTTGTTTCCTGGTTTCTTTTTCTTTCTAGACCTTAACTAYATATTTATGTTAAAGAAAGCAAGGTTTCAGTAACTCACCTTACCTGTGGCAATGTTATGAGAGCCCTTACCTCTTACACACACACACACACACACAGAGTCCAAATAAAATTCTACCTGTTCTACACATGAGATTTTAGTTCCACTGTAGGAGTTTGGCTGTTGATCAATCTCATCTTAGAGCTCTGAGCAGCTTTCCTAGATGCAGATGCCACATTCCCGATAGTGCCTATACACTACCTGAATTCTGTGGTCCCACCTTCCAGGCTGTTGACCTCCTTCCTATAAACTGATTAACASGGATTTCATGGAGGGCAGGGAGATTTCCATCTTCCTAGAGAGACAGATGGAAATTTAAGGCTTCATTAATGCAATTGCCAAACTAGATATACAGGTTTCTCATCCAGTAACCAACGCTCAGGCTCCAGAGCTGCATATACATGGTTGCTCACTGTTTCTGTTAGGTGGTTAACACATACAAATCTGACTTTAAAGGTGTTCYACAATCAAAACAAATTTGCAAGAAGGCTGAATTTAAAACAARAACCTCAAGTTGTAGGTCAACAGCTGGCCTGCTTCTCAACAGGGAAGTCTGCCTAGGACCTGTAAAGGGGCTTAGAAACCYGAAGTGTAAACAATCCTTCCCTGTGAAAAACAGTTAGAGGAACAGCCCTCAAGACCTAGCTGCAGCATCTCAATTACAGCACAACATGAACTGAAAAGCACCATTTGCACAAGAAACGATGGCTGACTCTGTGTGCTCTTACAGGGTGCYGTATACTCAACTTGCTTATTGCCAACTGCTCCATAATTATATTAAACATAGATCTATCCAATTAAATAACTATGCCAAAACTCAGACAATACCTAAAATAAAAAACAGATRTCCCAAAGAAGGAAGGAGATGGAAGAAACATTCTAAACATTCAACCTGAGGGTGATGAAAAAGTCAGGGAAAAATGCAGAGATTAAYTGAAGTGCCCAACACCACAATGCTTCCTTGGACATGAAAAACCAAGTTCTATTCATCTAGCGATATTTTATTTAAAAACATCAGTAGAATTGAGAGTCTTACAAAAAAAATAGCATTATTACAAATGTTTGACTTCCATAAGTGGTTGATAGGAGGGGAAAAAATAGAGCAATCTGACTGCAGTGCATTTAGCCATGAGCAGCTAGAGGAACTAATGAACAACATCATTATTTTACTGAAGGGGATGAAGTAGGTGCTTTAGATAAATGGCAGCAACTTAAAATGTGTTTCAGAAGATAAATTCACTTTCTCTCCATTTACCTGCTAGCGTGACAAATTAAGAAAGAAGAGTATAAAAACAGAGCAGGAGGGAAAGCAGTGCAAAAGCTAACTGAGGTGATGCAATRGGCCCTTATCCAAACAAGTGCGTGAACAGAGATTCTTGGAAGTCCTCCTAGTCAAACACAAACCCAGAMCACTGCACATGCCAGACTCTTCTGGAAATCCATGTGCAGAAGATCCACCTGTGCTAAAACCATGTCCCTTCCCAAGCATTGGGAGCTTTGGGCCATTGGGGAATTGGCAATGTCTGCTCATTTCAAAGCAGTCTAAGTCCACCSAGTACTGAAGGGCTGAGCTCTGCTGAGCGGAGCAGCTCTTCACCCACTGCCAGAAACACCATGAATCAACTTCTGCTGAAAGRCGAGAGTCGCTTTTCCACAAAAGTTTGTTATCTATTTCCATGTACTTCTTGTTCTGCAGTCAGCTCATCGATAGCAAAGAAAAGCTTCACTAAATACTTTCTAAAGAAAGGGTACTATGTAGTATACGTATACATCAATTTGTATATATAGTTTGTACACTACTCTGCAGTAYACAAAGCCTTTCATATCTCAATACCAAAACAATCCAACTAATTATTTTTGTGTGGTCAAGAACCAACATGTTTAGTGCTCCTTTTGCCCCTGTTAAACCCCACTGCTTTTGTTAAACGTGGTTTTTGTTCAGTTTGGGTAAACAGCTGCCCATGATATCTTTGAAAATRGGTGTTTTTATGCAGTGTTCCCACCGCTTTTACGGCTGAGTACTTGAGATCTACTTAAAGTCTCAGACTCGTACACCTATGCCGAGACCCTAAACACACTGCAAACAGGRGTTTGGGGATCAGCCTCTCCCCAGCATCCCCTGCCGAACCACAGCGGGCACGAATCACCATGCCGGCTCTCTCYGGGCAGCTCTGGACTAGCCGAACACCTGGAAAAGTCACCTGTGCGCCGGGAAATGGCAAAATAAACCCCACACCAGCTGCTCGGGCTGATCCTGTGCGCAGGGCTGGGGCTGTCCGCCTCCCTCGGCAGCGCGGCCSTGAGGGGCCAGGGCCCGCCCGGGCACAGATTATCCGCAAAGCCCCGAGCGCTCCGTGCCCTCAGAGCGGCCCGCGGCCACCCCGGGCCGCCTCCTCSCTCTTACCCGCGGCGGCTCTGCCTCTTCCCTCGGCCGCCATCACTTCCTGCGGGGCGGCGCGGGCRGCCCTGAGGGCGGGCCGGGCCCGGGATGGCGGCTGAGGGCAGAGGCGGGGAGCACCGGGGAGAG